CGAACACACAGAGATCCGCCTGCCTCTGCCTCCCAAGTGCTGGGACTAAAGGCGTGCGCCACTAACGCCCGGCGCTCCAGTACTTCTTGAGGCTTCTCAGCTAACTGACCTGGACCTTGAGGACTGTGCCCTTCAGGTCCGAACAGCTGTGCTCACCTGCTCAGGGCTCTGTGCTGTTCTGACGGAAGACCCTTGTCACCCCTCCTGGTTGGCACTTCCCTGTACTTTTAACTCCCGTGACCCTGCCATCACTTTGCAGTCCCTTGAGGTTATTTGTGGCTCCCAGGACGTTACTTCTGTCCTCTGTGGCTTCAAGCACCTCTGTATCTAGCATCTTTGTTGCACTGCCCATGCTTGGTTACCAAGTGGTCTTACTACAGCTGAGTCAGGACCCAGGAAGATAGTTGCTGATGTAGGCACCTGGTGGTAACTGCCCACTCAGCCCAGAGACCCACCTAGGAAGGGACACTCATGCAGGACATTCGTGTTTTGTGTACATTATCATGCTGGAGCACTCAGACTGACAAGTACGCACACCGGGTAGGTGTGGGGTCCTTAGAGAAGTCTTATGGGAATGAATAAGTATCCAGTACCCACTGTCTAACACCTCCAAGTGTGAAGCTAAGGATCACTTCATATCCTCTCCCCCCTTTTCCTAGGTGAGCGGGGCACAACCTTGTCTGGTGGCCAGAAGCAACGCCTAGCCATTGCACGCGCCCTCATCAAGCAGCCCACAGTGTTGATCCTGGATGAGGCCACCAGTGCACTGGACGCAGAGTCTGAAAGGGTAGTCCAGGAGGCCCTGGACCGGGCCAGTGCTGGTCGCTCCGTGTTAGTCATTGCCCACCGGCTCAGTACTGTCCGAGCAGCCCACTGCATCGTCGTCATGGCCAATGGCCAAGTCTGTGAGGTCAGTCTGGCTGGGAATGGGCAGTGGCCCAGGTGGCATAGCTAAGCTATATGAGCACCTGGCTTGGCTCCAGATGCTTGAGGTCATGTTCTGGGAACAGCATCTCAACAGACCAAGGTCTTCCTGTCCTCAGATAAGCTCTGATCTCAGGGAGAGTTGAGCTGCAGGTACCAGGACCAGAGGATGTATATGGTGTTCATGAAGAGACTGAGGCAGAGCTAGCCATCCAGGGGCTCAGATTCCCCATCAGGGACTTGGGTTTTTTGTTTTGTTTTGTTTTGGTTTGGTTTTTTTTTTTTTTTTTTTTTTTTTTTTTGGTTTTTCGAGACAGGGTTTCTCTGTGGCTTTGGAGGCTGTCCTGGAACTCACTTGGTAGTCCAGGCTGGTCTCGAACTCACAGAGATCCGCCTGCCTCTGCCTCCCGAGTGCTGGGATTAAAGGCGTGCGCCACCAACGCCCAGCTGGGTTTTTTGTTTTTATTTTGTGTTTTTTAAGAAACCTATACAGGTTTTTCTCTGTAGTCTTGGCTGTCCTGGAACTCCCTGTGTAGACCACACTAGCCTCAAACTCACAGAGATCTGCCTGCCTCTACCTCCTGTTACTGAACTTAAAGGTGTGCGCCACCACCGCAGGCTTCATGTCAGGGACCTTTATGGGAACAGTCAGGGGCAGAACCTCAGAGCATATGCGTATGTATCTCACAGCCCCAGCTACAGGAGAGACAAGAGGGATCAGACCTCAGTGTTAGCTGAGCAAGAGGTGGCACCCAGGATGTTTGGTTAAAATGAGCCCAGAGTTGTTAAGTCTCAAAGGGGCATCAGTTTCACTGGCTGTCAACCTAGCAGGTGATGGAGGCTGGGGCTCTAAGTTTAACTCTATTGAAATGACTCTCCTCCTGTCTCCAGACTGGGACCCACGAAGAACTCCTTAAAAAAGGCGGGCTGTATGCAGAGCTTATCCGGAGACAAGCCCTGGATGCCCCACTGACCGAGGCCCCACTTGCAGAGAAGCCTGAAGACCCTAAGAGCCACCAGTGGAAAGCCTGAGAGACCCCCCCACCCCGGGGGTTAAGTCACTGCCAAGAATCAGTCTGGGGCTGGAGCTCTACTGGGGACAGAGCCCTTGAAGGGCCGGTGTGCTGGGATATAGCCTGTACTCCTGCTCCCTTAAAGGAACTGGGCCTCGCAGCTGGGGTGGGAAGGTGTCTTTCCTCCCATCTGCTTTTACTGTCCTGGTTCAGCCCTGTGGTTCCTGGGATGTACACAGTGAGGCAGGGTCCCTGAGGCACTTCTGCTGGACCCTCCCCTCTGAAGCAGTACTACCCAACTGTAAGGTTATTCATGCCCTCACTCCAAGGGACTGAAAATTCATGGTCTGACCAGGCCTGGTAGGATGGTCTGTAATCCAGGCACTTGGAAGACTGAAGATCAAGGGGTTCAAGGCCATCCTGGGCTGCATAATGAGACCCTATCTCAAAAACCCTAAATAAATAAATATAATAAAAGAAATTCGGGGTTTTTTGTTGTTGTTGTGTTTTGTTTTGTTTTGTTGGTTTTTCAAGACAGGGTTTCTCTGTATTGTTTTGGAGGCTGTCCTGGAACTAGCTCTGTAGACCAGGCTGGCCTCGAACTCACAGAGATCCTCCTGCCCCTGCCTCTGCCTCCAGAGTACTGGGATTAAAGGCATGCACCACCAATGCCTGGCTGAAAAGAAATTCTTAAAAGAGGCTGAGGCTGTAACTCAGTAGCAGAGTGCCTGGCATATGTGAGGGGCCTAGATTCAAATAAAAAAATTAACCCAGGTTTGGGGAGTAACCCAGGACCGCAGATACAGGCTCCACCTCACCCTAAGTAGGACCACAAATACACCCCTAGGCTTACCTTTGCATCCTCACTGTGTCTCTTGGCCCATCCCCCACATGACTACAGTCCGGGTCTCTGGCAGGATGAAGTGGTAGCAGTCCATTGTACAAGAAGCACCCAGCCTACTTGGCTGTTCCCTGTGTGCTTCTAATCTGAACGGATAAAACTGTAAAACTAAAGAGACGCTGGGCGGCTGGAGAGATGGCTCAGAGGTTAAGAGCACTGACTGCTCTTCCAGAGGTTCTGAGTTCAATTCCCAGCAACCACATGGTGGCTCACAACCATCTGTAATGAGATCTGGCGCCCTCTTCTGGTATGTGCAGACATACATGGAGGCAGGATGTTGTATTCATAATAAATAAATCTTTAAAAAAAAAAAAAAAAAGAAGAGACCCTGAAGAGACTTAAGATTGGGCCATGTGTCTAGGCAGAACGTTCAGATAGGAGCATAATGCCAAAGCAGGCTTAGTGGTGCACACCTGTAATCCCAGCAGATAGGAGGTAGAGGTGGGATGATCAGTTCGAGATTGCCCTTGGCTCCATAGAAAGTTTGAGACTAGCATGGCCTTTGTGTGCCAAAGTAGAAGGCATGGTTAATGCACAATACGCCAACGCCCAGCATAGCTGACCACTCGAGCATACAAAGGTTTTACCCAATTCCCACATACATGAGGGTATACATCAGAGTTTACCCAGTACAGAATATGATGGTGACAAGAACCAGGCCTTGCAGTCCCCTGTCGGATGCCTTTGGGCTGGTGGCCCTCTCATCTGGCCTCCTTGTACTTCTCCAAGCCAGCTAGCACGGAGCCTGTGTGTGGCCAGTTCTGCGAGCACACACATCCCACCCCTGCAGCTCTACCCTCCTCTTCCCATCTGGACTTCTGGGAGTAGCTCTGTGCCTTGGATCACATGCTGCCTTTGCCTAATGGCAGGGTGCAGGGAGGTGACTCCGGGGCCTGGAATCCGCTCCAGGCATACTCACTAATCAAGGCTAATGGGAATACAAAATGGCATAACTGCTGTTAGGGGTAGAGTTGGGGGATCTAGTCACATCTATCAAATGAGCAAGGCAGCGGCCTCAACCCAGAAACTTGGTTTCAGGAAGTTTGTGACCATTGATAGCAAAGCTGGTATTAAAAGGCTGGAAACCTTAGTGGTCGTCAGAGAAGACATAGTTAAAAGACATCACCTCCACATGGTGGCCTAGGGCCACTTTCTGAAATGAGGACATTTTCCAGGAGCTGGAGATCATGACCCCTAGAATATGTTACTCAAGAGGGGAAGCTGTGAAGTCACAGGGTACCCTGGGTACAGTGGGGTAGCAGGAGAGTCCGTAGTCATTGTGGAGGAAGATGGCCTCGCCAACAGGAGGACCAACAGGAGGAGGTGGGGCCGGCCAGGCCACCAGGCAAAGAGGAACACTCAGAACACAGAAGGCCATTGGCTATGGACCCTGAAGAAGGCCCTGATCATGCAGTGTTTCTAGGATGCTGGGGCCATAGGAAGAGAAGATCTGCCTGTGCCAAACCTCCCACCACACTCTCTAGCTTGGTCAAAAGCCAGATCCACTCTGCAAAGGAGCAAATAATGCCAGGTGAGTTCATGGAAGAGAAGAGAGGCAAAAGGGAGAGAAGCTGAACCAAGAGTCAGCAGCTAGCCCTCGGGTCTGGCATGCAGGGGCTGTGAGTGGGAGCCTAAAGTGCCCCAAAGGTATCCCCAACCCCAATGTAGGTCTGGGTTTCCTTCAAGTCCTACCCAGCATCACCGCGGTTTCCTCCTGGCGCCTCTAGTCTCTGACAGCACTAATGGCTCAGCCTGGGGCCCCAGGGACCTTCCCTGCCCCCTGACTGCTCTGCTGGCCCCCCACCCCCCCATGCTGAAACCTAATGCTCTGCAGCAGCTTCCGCTCAGTCCTGCTCCGCAGCCCCCGCCTGCCACTACCTCCTGCATCCTACCTGGTCTTCACCGTGGAGCCCCAGCCCCGTGGAGCCAACGCCTGTGCTGGGGAAGGCCGAGCTGGACCGAAGTTCATCTCATCCAGTCCTACCAGGCCAGTACTCCCAGCTCTCAGTCTCGGCTCCTCCCTTCTCTTCCTACCTTCTCCTTTTCTCTCCTCCCAATTCCTTGCTGAATCCCATCTCAATCCCTGTTAGCCCTCTAGAACAGCCTCTGCCACTCCTGGGAAGCCTGTACCAAGTCAGCAGCCCCTTCCCTGGGCTCTAGCCATGAAACCCCCCTCAGGACTGGAAGAGGCCCGACAGCGACAGCGACAAGCCTCAGACATCCGAGTGTTTGCCAGCAGCTGCACAATGCATGGTCTGGGCCACATCTTTGGCCCTGGAGGCCTGACCCTGCGCCGTGGGCTCTGGGCCACAGCTGTGCTCCTGTCGCTGGCTGCCTTCCTCTACCAGGTGGCTGAGCGGGTGCGCTACTATGGGGAGTTCCACCACAAGACCATCCTAGATGAGCGTGAGAGCCACCAACTCACCTTCCCAGCTGTCACTCTGTGTAATATCAATCCATTGCGCCGCTCACGCCTCACCCCCAATGACTTGCATTGGGCTGGAACAGCGCTGCTGGGCCTGGACCCTGCTGAACACGCTGCCTACCTTCGTGCCCTGGGCCAGCCCCCCGCACCACCTGGCTTCATGCCCAGTCCCACCTTCGACATGGCACAACTCTACGCCAGAGCCGGCCACTCCCTTGAGGACATGTTGCTGGACTGCCGCTATCGTGGCCAGCCCTGTGGGCCTGGGAACTTCACAGTGGTGAGCCAGCTGCCCTAAGACTCAGAATTTACAATCTCCAGCCTTGTCCCCCAAAACAGGAAACCTTAACACCCCTTGCCTGGGTATTCCTTCTTTCCTGCCAGCCACAGGCTCTTGATATACCAAGCCCCTCTGTGTAATCCAGGAAGTGGCCTCTGGAGGTTCTCTCCATCTCACAATTAGACATTGTGCACCTGGCCATGCCTCTCACACAGGCTGCAGGGCCAAGGGCAGCTGGTGGAGACACTGCTCCTAGGGTAAAATTAAATAGCCTGGGACTATTCCGGGTCAGAAGACCCCTATCTGCTAGGAGAGGACTTTCCTCTGTCTAATGTGAATTTTGCCACCCCCAAGGAGGATAATAATAGATCCATTTCTTTTTGTCCCAATTATCCCTGTAGTCTGCACCCGGGACTTTGGTGAGAGGCAGGGGAGTTGGAGTGAGTAGGGAGGTTTCCCCACTCCACATGTCTCTATGTGAGGCTAAGGGAATTCAGATGGGCTTCACAGCTCTTTCAAGGAGGGTGGGAGAACTGCATGAGATCTGGTATCAAAAAGTCCAAAACAAAAGACAGGTGCAGTAGTGCAAACTTTTAATCCCAGAACCTGGGAAACAGGCAGGAGGAGCCCTGTGAGGTCCAGGCCAGCCTCATCCACACAGCAAGCAAGTTCCAGGACTACATAGAGAGAATGTGTCTCAAAAAAAAAAGAAAGAAAAGAAAGAGAAAGGGAAGAAAGAAAGAAAGAAAGAAAGAAAGAAAGAAAGAAAGAAAGAAGAAAGGAAGAAAGAGGAAAAAGACTCTTAAGATTTGGAAAGGGTGGAAACTCAGCTAGGTAACCTAGATTTAGTAACCTAGGTCCAGTCCCCATCTCCCACAGTAGGAACTTAAGTAACACATTGAGAGGAGGAAATCCATCCAAGGATTGGTCACTGGTTATGGTAATCCATGCCTGTAATCCCAGCACTTGGTATTTGGAGGTAGAACCAGGAATTTGAGGACATCTCAGCTATATAGAAAGCACCAGAAGAGTCCAGGCTAGTGCTGCCCCCAAAGAAAAAAACCCAAACAAAACAAAGAGAAGGGGCTCAAGGAGGGGAGGGCACCCATGCCCAAGGCTTGTTTAAGCAAGGGGCTGTCCTTTTCTGTCCCCAGATCTTTACTCGAATGGGGCAGTGCTACACCTTCAACTCCGGTGCCTACGGAGCAGAGCTGCTCACCACTCCGAAGGGTGGTGCTGGCAACGGGTTGGAGATTATGTTGGATGTACAGCAGGAGGAGTATCTACCCATCTGGAAGGACATGGGTGAGGGGCACAGGGTCATTTGCCTGTCAGGAGGGATGAGGGTGGAGGCATGCATGAGGCTGGCAAATCATAGAGACCATGGGAAGGAGAGGGGGCAGGTGTGTAGGGAGGAGCCCCAAAGCGGGTCTTGTGAGAAGAGGCAAGGCTGGCTCTTCCAAATTCTGAGGAGAGGACTGCCAAGGGTGTCTCTCCTGGGAGCGGAGTGTCTAGGGCCTTAAAGGCCCCTTCCTGCAGAAGAGACCCCGTTTGAGGTGGGGATCCGAGTGCAGATCCACAGCCAGGATGAACCCCCTGCCATTGACCAGCTGGGCTTCGGGGCAGCCCCAGGCCACCAGACTTTTGTGTCCTGCCAGCAGCAGCAAGTATGTTGGTTAAACTGCCTGTGCCTCCCACCCCCCCAAACTCCTACCCTCTTCAGAAGACCCCCAGACCCCAAGCCATAGTGCCTCAGCTTGTTCCTGGGGCTGTCACCCCAGCAACCTCTATTAACCCAGTCTCCTTAACTTTGTCCCTGCACAGCTGAGCTTCCTGCCACCACCCTGGGGTGACTGCAATACTGCATCTGTAGATCCCGACTTTGATCCTGAACCCTCTGATCCCATGGGTTCCCCTAACCTCAGCCCTAGCCCTCCTTATAGTTTAATAGGGTGTCGCCTGGCCTGTGAGACCCGTTATGTGGCTCGGAAATGTGGATGTCGGATGATGCATATGCCTGGTAAGGGGCTGGGGTCTGTTGGGAGTAGGGAATGGGAGTACTCTAGGGGGCGCTCTCAGGCTCCCGGACCGTTCTCATCTTATATCCTAGGAAACTCGCCAGTGTGCAGCCCCCAGCAGTACAAGGACTGTGCCAGCCCAGCTCTGGGTAAGGGCACATCTCTTCGGCGTCCTTGTCCCCATCACTAGACCGTTGATCTCAGCCCTCTGGCAGAGTGGTCCTGATCCCTGCTTTGCGGCCTGACTGCAGACGCCATGCTGCGGAAGGACACGTGTGTCTGTCCCAATCCGTGCGCCACCACGCGCTACGCCAAGGAGCTCTCCATGGTGCGGATTCCCAGCCGCGCTTCAGCTCGTTACTTGGCCCAGAAATACAACCGCAGCGAGACCTACATCGCGTGAGCGAGGGATAGCAGCGAGGCTGGAGGCACTGCGCCTGAGTCCAGGGGCTCCTAGCAGGGGACTGTACCGGAGCCCTTCTGCACACAGCCTAGGCTGCATTCATCTCCACCTCTTAACCGGTTCTGGGACTCTGGGCAAACTGCTTAAACTTTCTGACTTGGGGGATGGGACTAACCCAACATTCTCAAAAGGGGCCAGAGCACCAGGTGGTGTCCAGTCAACAATTCGGGTTTCTTTTTCTCCAGGGAGAACGTACTGGTTCTGGACATCTTCTTTGAGGCCCTCAACTATGAGACAGTGGAGCAGAAAGCAGCCTATGAAGTATCGGAGTTGCTGGGTGTGTACAGAGTGGAGTGCCTAGGTGTGCGCGGAGTGCCTGGGTCTGCAGAGGTGTGGACATTGCAGGGCACTGTGAGCTGACAGCAGCACTCTGCTTCCACAGGAGACATCGGGGGACAGATGGGACTGTTTATTGGAGCCAGCCTACTTACCATCCTCGAGATCCTTGACTACCTCTGTGAGGTGGGGCAGAATCCCAGACACAATGGGGAGGGAACAGGCCACAAGTGTCCGGGGAGGTGGATGTTGGCCACCTACTCTTGCCACTTGTCCCCAGGTTTTCCAAGACAGAGTCCTGGGGTATTTCTGGAACAGAAGGAGCTCTCAGAGGCACTCTGGCAACACTCTGGTAACAGTCCCCTTGCCTTCCCCTACCCCATCATCGTAGGCCTTACCCAAACCTTAAACATTTGGTCTAGGAGCTATGTGCAGCCATCTTGCTGGTCTCCATCTGACTCTCCCTTTGCCCACAGCTTCAGGAAGGGTTGAATGGGCATCAAACACAGATTCCTCACCTCAGCCTGGGTCCCAGGTAATATGAGACACGCCCCATAAGGTCATGGGACAAGACAGGTCAAGAGGAAGAAATTCAAGTCTAGAGCAGAGTAGGTAGAGGGGTCCTGCCCCAGTGCTCTGGCTTATCCCAGCAGGCCTCCTGCCCCTCCCTGTGCTGTCACCAAGACACTCTCTGCTTCCCACCGTACCTGCTACCTCGTCACAAGACTCTAGACCTGTGCCGTGACCTCCTGGACATGTCCAACTTGTACATCTTTGCTGTCTTCACCCAAATAAAGCTCTAGTGCATGTGCCTCGAGTGTCTGTCTGCCTTACAGATCAGACACCAGCAGAGCCAATGACAGCCCCACCCCGCCTCCATCCATGGCCCAGCTGGGACCTAGGTCCCAGTTAGGCTTTACAACTCTCTGGGGAGGGGCAGGATACTCCTAAGACCAATCAACTGCACCTTAGTGTTGACGAGCTTATCAAACCCATTTTAATTTTTTTCCCCGAGTAATGGGGGCTGAGCCCAGGGTCTGGAGGACTCCTGCTATGTAAAAGTGTTCTCCCATAGAAGTACAACCCCATCACTTTTGTTCATCTGAGGCAGGGTCTCATACACTCAGGTTGGGGTGAACTGTGCAGCCAAGGATGATCTTGATCTAATCTTTCTGTCCACACCTATCAAATGTTGAGATTACAGGCATACATCACATTTGGCTTCCCAGTCCTTTTCGCATCTTGTTTATTCAGAAACAGAGTCTCACTAAATTGTCCAGATTGACCGTGTACTCCGCCGCCCACACTGGCCTTGTAGCTCTTCTGCCTCAGGCTTGTTGGGAGCTGGGAATACAGGCCTGTACCACCAGACCTAAGACCTACTTCCTGTGGACACGCCCAGAGCTCAGGTGTGCTGGCCCACAGAGGGCAGGTCAGTAGGTATTCACTGCACCCACAGTGTATAGCCAGAGCAAGGATCTAACTAGCTCGGCAAGAAGGCGGAAGTGGCAAGTTACACTAGCGGGTCTAGTCCATGCGCAAGAGCACACGTTTGTGTCCTGCCTCCAAAAGTCATGCTATGGGAAAGTTCCCACCTTTCCAACCTCTCCACAGGAGCTGACAGCCACGTGGTGAGACAGTGGGCTGGAAAGAGCCCTGCCTTTCCCTTCCTGCCAAGAGGGTACCACTGGACCTCTGCCTCGGCCGTTTCCTTCTTTTTCTGTACCCCAGCCAAGGGAGAACTGGCAAACAGGAACTGGGAAGGGCTGTTCTTATTCTTACGAAAGAGATCCACACAGCTCTGGGTCTTCCCTGCCCTAGAGACAATTCTGAGCGTGAAAACAGAGATGGAAGGCTCTAAACTGAATGTGGAGATACCCATAGAGAGGCCTGGTCTATTCTCCTCATTCTCGTGGGCGCACTCAACCCAGCAGCACCCTACCTCAAAACTGTACCTGGCCCTTCTAGGCAGAAAAAGTGTGCAGGAGTATATAAGCCTGTGTGTGGAGACAGAGCTGCCATGATACAGTCAAAAGGATGGAGATCATGGCCTCCTGTCCCCAGTCTCTGGACATGTAAAGAGAGAGCAGACAGCGAGCAGCTCGTTGTACAAGCTGTAGGCAGGGTCACAGAGGGTGGTAAGTCAGAGCAGGGGTCCCCAGCCACCCTTCAGAGCCACCCCACCACCATATCAGCAGACTGTGGGAAAGGAGCCAATTTATGAAATTAAATAAAGTCCATGGAGGGAGTGAAAACCACGGGCCAGAGTAACTCTACCCTGGCTGGGCCCAGCACAGCTGGTGCTCAGCATCCCACACCCCACTTTTCCACCCTTCTGGGAGGGAGGCTTAAATAGGCCAGGCCCCAGCCTGGCCACCAGGGGTCAGAGAGCTTATGGGGGACAGAAGTCAGAGAAGTAGGGGTGCTGCAAGGCCTCCTCTGCTGAGATGCGCTGCACAGGGTTACACTTCAGTAGGTTCTGCAGGCGGGAAGAAAGGCAGAGGCAAACTCAGACCAGGACAGTCCACCATCTTTCTGTCCCTCTGGGCAAGCACCACAATCCCCAGTTTTTAATCCTGGGCAGGCAAATACCCCCAGCTGCTTCTACCCCCTGGCACCTACCTGCAACAGGTCTCTCCCTGTGGCATTGAGCTTGGGTACGACGTTCACCAAGGATGTTGTAGCTGGGTACATTGGGTAGGGCTGCAGAGGAGGGCCAGGCAGAGTCAGGCCAGAAGTACGGAGCACAGAGTGGGGAAACAAAAGGGGCTTCTAGTGAACCAAGGCCTCCCATACCAGTCACACCTTATAGTCTGGCAGCTTGGTCATGGCGGGCCATTGTTCCTCAGTCGGTGTCCCTAGCAGTGTACCCATGTGGTCAAGGGTCACTTGTGGGGAGGGTTGCACCTACACCTCAGGAACAAGGGGGAGGATTCCTCACTCCCTCCTGCCCTACTCTTACACCATCTTGCTCTGTCCCCCAGCCCAGCCTGAGACGAACCTCATTTTTATGGTGTTTACAGTAGACTAGGAAAAATCCAACCTCTGATGCTTGTGGTCCAAACAGACCAGTCATTTTTCTCCAAGAACCCCTACTCCTTTATCCCAAGGCCAACTGCCTCATCAGGTGTGCCGTCCTTACCAACAGGCTACATCTCTCCACTTTGTGGAGGGCAAGCAATGGCTAGTTCTCACCCCTGCTTGGAGCTCTACACCCACTCCCTTTCTACAAAGAAGTGAAGGACAATGGGCTAAGGGTACTGGAAGGATATCGAAAAATTCTCTTCAGCTGGTCATCCACATCATTGCCAGGGAAGAGAGGCCGCCCCGCATTAGCCAACTCTGAGAAGAAAATGGATGAAACAGAGCACATGAAGGACCCATCATTCTAAGGTGCCCCTGTGCCTTCCAGTCCCAGCCCCAAGAGCCCCTCTCCCTTCCCTCACAAAAGATCCTCCAGACCCTATTTATTAGCCCAACTGGGAAAGAAGGTGCCTCTGCAGAACCCAATGTGTCACCTGCAAAGATGCAGCCGGCTGACCACATGTCGATGGACGTGGAGTACAGCTTGGCCCCAAAGAGGACATCCGGTGGACGGTACCACAGCGTGACCACCTGGAGGAGACCCCACCCACAGGGAACCCCCCTCCCACTTAGAGAGCTCGAAGGAGGTCCACGAGGCAGCTCAGAGAGCAGAAGAAACGATGTGTTATAGAGAAGCCACTGGGGGACTCCCTCCCATCAATGTCATATGCCACTTCCCAGGCTCACCTCAGCAGAGTAACAGCGGACTGGGATACCAAAGGCTCGAGCCAGGCCAAAATCAGCCAATTTCAACTCCCCATTCTGAAGGGAGATAACACAAAGGGGACATGGAGAATACTTTTTAAGGCAGGCTACAGCTTCCTTCTCCCCATCCTACTCCTTCAATGTTCCCCATCCCTGACTCCAGCTCCCACATTCTCACTCCCTGTTCCCAGAAAAATACCCTGTTTATGAGCAGGTTCTGGGGCTTCAGGTCCCTATGCAGCACATTGCGGCTGTGACAGAATCCCAGGCCTTTCAGCAGCTGGAAGAGGAATGACTGGGGAGAGGCAGGGAAGAAAGAGTCAGACCCACTATGTCCTATAGCCTATGTGACTTGCAGCAAGGCGAGAAGTCTATCCAATCACTCTGCAATTTAGTGTGTCTGTGTGTGTGTGTGTGTGTGTGCGCTCCTGTGGAAGTCAAAAGAAGGGGTAAGGTCTCCCAGAACTGAAGTTACAGGTAGTTGTGAGCCACCCAATATGAGTCCTGGGAACAGAGTCCTCTGCAAGGGCAGCAAGTGCTCTTAACAATTGAACTAGCTTTTCAGCCCCTCATCTAGTTACTTTTGAGAATCTGCTTTGCATGCACTAGGTAATAGAGGCACAACAGTAACTAAGTTTTCCTTGCTCCTCATACCTTTCTGGACTCAGAGGTTGGTGGGTCTCCCCTACATGCCTGCAACTTAGCACACACACCATGACCATCAGCGCAAATACAAAGCTATAGTATTACTCAGGACCTGATTCCCCTGGAACCTGGGCCAAGGTACTTGGTCTTGGGCCTAGAACAGGGATGGGTACAACACAAAACCTACAGGAAATATTTGTTTTGTTGGCCTTTCTCTCTCTCGCTCGCTCTGTCTCCCTCTCAAGATTCACTTAATTTTTAAAGTATGTATGTATGTGTGTAGGGGTATATGTGTGTTTGAGTGCAAGTGCCCTTGGAGGCCAAAAGTGGGACCTGGATCCCCTGGATCTGGAGTTACAAGTGGTTGTGAGCCACCTCATATGGGTGCTGGGAACTGAACTCATACCACCTGCAAGAGTGATTAATATGTGTTAACTGCTGAGCCATCACTCTAATCCTTTTGTTTTGTTTTTGCCCTGATGTTTGAGGCAAAGCCCTGCTATGTAGTTCAGGCTGGTTTTGAACTTGAGATCCTCCTGCCTCAGACTTCTGAGTGCTAAAGTTAGAAGTATTTGCTACTATGCAGGGCTGGTATTTCTTGAATCCATGAGATATTTCCTATGTGTCTCAACTCTCGAGTGCATATGATCATCACTGAAATCAGATACTGTGCAAGTCAAAGGAGACCACATTAAAAATGTTCATTAAGACTAGCAGCCCTTGGAAGGCAGAGACAGATTTTCTCTAGTACTCCAGGAGCTCAACCTGTTACTCAAGGAGTGCTGACACTCTAGGCACACCTAAGCTTCTCCCCTCACCTTCACAATCTCAGGGTCCAGGTCACCATTGCAGCTGTCAAAATATTTCTTCAGGTCCTAAATAGATAAGGGTATGGAGAAGAGAGCAGGGATCAACTTCAGTCTGGACTCCTATACCCTCCCATGATTACCAACCTCCCCTGCCCCCAGCCCCTTTCACCTGATCACAGAACTCAAAAACCAACGTCAGCTTCTTGTCACTATGCAGGACATCGTGAAGCCTAGAGAGAATGAAAGGCCCAGCCAGATCCCCAGGTTGGCCTCTAGCATCCCAATACCGGCCCGGTCTAACGGGCTCTGCCTTCTCCAACAGACCTCACCTGACAATGTTTTTGTGCTTGAGTTCCTTGAGTAGACAGATCTCCCGGAGGGCTGAACTTGGCACACCCTACAATATGCAAGGGGGGCAGCAGTCACGTCCCACCCAAAATAGGCCTTATACCCCTCCCCCATGCTTCAGTCCTACCTCATCGTCATCATCCAGCCTGACACGCTTCAGAGCCACAATCTCGTGGGTTTCCCGGTTTTTGGCCTTGAACACAGTTCCATAGGTGCCTAG